TATTATTGAATGGATCTGAGTTGGAATCCCACTTATCAACTGGATGGCCATGGACAAGGCCTCTTCTACACATTAGCTTATTTACTCTATAAAATGGTGTCATACTACCTAAACTGGTTTTGATAGTATGGGTCCGCATGAACTGGTCCATGATCAACCACAGGCATAAAGATGAGCTGTGGCTCATCTTATTTGGGTTTCTACTAGATCTGATCCAGAACTCACGGAGAGGGACTGGTGACCTCAGTTTCTTACCTTAATTGAGAATGAGGAGTTGCATCAAATGGTAAGTAAAGCAGCCCTCCAGCAGTAAGACTTTGTGATTTTATGATGCTTTCTGGCCTCTTGGACAGTCCTCCATGGGAGACATTGCCCACCTGCCTGCTCTGCTCCTCATCCCATCTACTTGGCCCTCTAGTGCTGTATCTATCCCTAGCTCTCCTTATCCCGGGCCATCCAGTTAAGACTTCAGGAACCCTTCAGGACATGGCTTCCCAAATCCACTCACCAGCTGCACGCTCTGCAAGCTGGGCCCACGAGCGTGCTCCGCTGGAAGGGGGACACTATGGTACCTTTGGAATCTGTCTTAATCAATCTAGTATTGAGATGATTTTAAAATAAAGTTATGTTAAGTGAAGGTGGAACTGAAATCCAGTTTCCTTATCTAGAATAAAGAAGCAGTTCAGACAAGTTGAAATCGGAGATCGCTTGCAGAACTAATTCGGGAACTTCAAAGAGCAGGGATTTCGTCGGGTGCCAAATCTCACACCTAGCATAAAATAGTTCCTCAGTGATATTGAGGGTGTGATGAGTGAATATTGAGATTTGATGATAAAAATGCTAAGGAATTACCTTCCTAGTTTATTTAATTTGGAACAGTGATTCATTTTTTTTTTAATAAAGTGAGACTTAAAGGGGGTAATTGCTTTTTTTTTTTTTAAGAGAGAGAGGGAATTTTAATATTTTATTTCTTAGTTTTCGGCAGACACAACATCTTTGTTTGTATGTGGTGCTGAGAATCGAACCCAAGCCACACGCATGCCAGATGGGCGCGCTACCGCTTGAGCCACATCCCCAGTCCCAGTGATTCATTTTTTAAATCCAGTAATCCTCAAATATTTTACCTTTGTCTCATAGGTTACCAGATATTGTCTTTCTGGCCAGAATCCATGCTTCCTGAACTCATCTTAATTCTCAGCACTGCAGCTGTTCACAAGTTAGGGGGGAAAAATGGGGAAAAAAATGTTTTTTTGTCCCCACTATTCATTGAGGTCATGCTATTCAGGATTCCATAATCTACTCTGAACTTCCTCTGGACTCCCTCATGGAACCTCAAACTTTATTTTAGAAAGACAACATTTAACCGATTCCTCCTTTTTTTTCCCCCTCCTATTTTTTTTTCTTTTTTGATTGTTAATCTAGAAAAAGTGAGACACCATCAAAAAAGGATCCTCCTAATTCTACTTTCATTCAGCTCTACTTTCCAAACTATAAAATATCCTTTTAGTGTTTGCAGATGAAAAACATTCTAACAAAGTGTTTTTGGCATTCTAAAAGTACTAGTTGTGGCAGCAGAGGTTCAGCCTGTATGATAACAGGTTTTTTGTTTGTTTGTTTAAGCAGGTCCTAGAAAATTTCAGAAGCCCAGGGCAAGGGACTTTGTCTCAGATCCCAATTTTCTCTCTTGAAAAACATCTATGGCAGGGGCCAGCAAACATTCTATAAACATTCTGTAAAGACCCAGACAAGTGTTTTAGCGAAAACCAGTAAAAAAACAGTAAACAGTCTGATTCAGCCTTTGTGTTTTTGTTTTTTCAAGGTCATTGAATTTTTGTCTCCTCTATTCAACTCTGCTGTGAGTACCAAAGGCAATATATAAATGATTAAACACAGATATGTTCCAATAAAACTTTATTTATAAAAACAAGCAGCAGATAGAATTAGGCCTCCAAGCTGTAGGTGGATAACTCCTAATTTGTAGACAATGAACAGGAAGATTAATTGGGGGGGGGGCGGTTCACTGAGAGTATCATCCAACCCTCTTTGTGTTTTTATAACAGTTTATTGTTCTCTTTCTCAATATAAAAATAACATATGATCACTATAAAAGTTTACAGAAAAAGAAAAAAGAAAAATCATCCAAAATACCATCAGAATACCACTTCTTAAAATTTTGAGAAATAAACTTCCATTTGTGTACATATTTTTATAGAATCATGCTAATGTTGTATAACATCTATGCAAATTTACCTAATAACTCTATTTTCATGCTATTTCTTTGTAAGTTTAGACGAGTTTTACTGAATTTTACTTTTTGGGTTGTTTTTCTTTTCAGGAACTCCAACTATAACAATTCTTCTCTCATTTACAATTAGGTAACTTTGATCCTTGAGATTTGGAGCTTGGAGCAACTTACAGAGAGGGAGCAGATAGGACATTACTTAATGAACTCCAGTAACATATTCCTTCAGAGTTGGGGTATAGGTCATCCAAATGTGTGTATTGGGAAGCCAATTTATTATTAAAATAGTTTCCTGTGGCCATTGCTAAAGTCTGTTGTTATAAGCACATTAGGAATTCTGTTAGAGTTGCTCTTGGTCTGAACTTTGGGAAAAACTGACTATAGCTCAGAGAAGTTCCTGTACTATAGAGGAGCTTCAGTCATTTCATTCACTAATGGTGGGAACTATTTTTGTGAACAGCTGATACTCAGGCATCTGCCTCCTCATATTTCCTATTGCTTTTCCACTCATTTTCCTAATCATCCATATTCCATGAGAAATTCTGATTCAGAAAGGTTCACCAGAGGTAATATGTAAAACCTAATGCCCCCAAACATATCTGTTTGGATTTTATGTGGCTTTCACATCTAACCATATTACTATCCTTTTGTGTTCTACTAAATTAAATCTGGATATCTCTATTCTGTTGCTGAAATGAGGTGTACTTAGTGAGAAAAACAGAATTAGGATAAACTCTTTGACACTAATGAATTAAACTAGATACAAAGGTAAGAAATGGAAATAAATGGAATCAGGCCCTGTTACCTTGTAGGGTGAAAGTTATAAGCTGGACAAGCCATACTTTCAGGCTCACATATTATGTTTGTGCAGCAAGTTCATAGCCCAAGGCAGCTAGAGTAATAATGGGTTGTATTTTTTCTTTCTTTTTCTTTTTTTTTTTTTTTTTTTTGTGGTGCTGGGGGTATTAAACCTAGGGCCTTCCCATACTAGGCAAGAAATCCTCTACTACTAAGCTACAACCTCAGCCCAACAGTGTTTTAAATTTGTGGAACATAATTTTAAGTGCCTGGAACCCAGAGACTTGCAGTGGTGTTGATGGGAACATAAACCCTGTCAACCAACAGTCCTCAATGTGAGAGACTGTTCCACCTCAGTAATCTGTGACCAGACACACCTCTCCACTACCCCTGGGTTACCTACAAGAATAAAATGAGATAATTGACATAAATCCTGGTGGCTAACCTAGAATAAATGTGGAATAAATGTTGCTACTATTTATAATAGAATCACTGAGGTAATTACAAGTTCTACTTGGCTATGCATTTCTCAAAGGTCCTTCATTGACAGCACTTTACTTGCTATAGTTTGTTTTTATACATTTGTAAAGATAATAAGCAGCTGTGCTAAAAATTACACCATTAATTCATTCCAACTAGACCTCCCTCAAATTCATACTAATTAGTGATGTTCACATGTCATTTCAATAGGGGATAGATGTTCACTTTGCTGTACCCGTAGGAGGGGAAAAATCAGTGGTTCTTGTTTTAAGTATAAATGGAGAAAGGTAATATAAAAGGAACACCAAAGAGCTTCTAGCATTTATTAAATCAGGTCATATGCTGCTCCGAAACAGTGAAAATATTATTTACACTGGCAGGCAGAAGGAAGAGTCCTCCAGCCGATGCCCCAAATAAGGATGGGAAAGTGAGTCTGTCTGCTTTCAGTGCAACACCATGCTTATAAAAAATTATATTAAAAAAAAAACCTTGAATATGTTTCCAAAATGTCAAAAAACAAGTTACCTTTAACTATCCAGGACCTATCAATTACCTTCCTTTTAAGTTGTTGAAGCAAGAAAGCTCAGAGGAGCAAGGGAAGATCCGGGCTGCTTCTATATAGGCATATGGCAAATTATTTTCAAAAATTAGAGGTGTTGCTATTCCTTCTATTGGTGAAATGATCTAAAACCTCCACTTCCACAGAAATGAGTCTCTCCCAAACTTGCCTACCAGAAGAGTCGCCTGGTGAAAGGTGCACATTCCTACACCACTCCAGGTGTCAGTATTTCTAATAAGCAGCTCTAATAATCAGAGAAGTTTAGGCAACACTTTGCAGCAGTGGTTCTCAGCCCTGACCATTTGCTAGAATCTCCCTGGGAGCATCAGGTGCATCTGAAACAACTAAAGTTCAGGGCCCACCCCTGGACCTGTTAAACCAGCATCCCCAGAGTTGGCCTGGCCACTGAGTCTTTTTAATAGCTGTCCAGATGACACTAATATGTATCCAAAGCTAATTGCCATCAGGTTAGGACTAGCAGCACCTGCCTTGGCCTTGCCAGGGAATTGGTTAGAAAAGCTATCTCTCAGGTCTGGCCCCAATATCTGGAATGACAACCTGCATTTGAACCAGAGATCTGTGTGCACAGTTAAGGTTGAAGAGGCTGTCCCAGTGTCTGTAAACTAAACACAAATCCTTCCACCAAGGATGGAGTTTTTTTTCCCTGCCTATTCTGTTCTCCCTCATCACCACCATCAATAAAAGCACCTTAAAATCTTTCCCAAGGCCATTTTGTTTATTCACTTGGCCTTTGAAAGCCAACTGAGAAGAGATAGAGTCAGGCAAAAAGATCAATTCCAAAATTACCTATGGAAGTAGGTTTAATGGTATCCACTGCTCCTGCCCAGCCAAATGCCCAGTTTCTGTGTCATGTCCCATAATCAAAAGACAGGAAGGATCACTAACATTCACATCGTGAAATTCATTTAGACAGTTTTCTTTAATTAACGATGAAGACACTACAGTTCTAAGTACCAGACAGAATCAAGGGGGAAAAAAATTGAAAATAAACATAACACTATAAAGAAAACTTGGAAAAGTGAAACACTTCTAAATAAAAAATATAAACCTGGCCTGGTACCCATGACATATATACATAATACGTATGTTATACACATATATACAATAAATGTTTTGGTAGCAATACAGACCATGTGTTGGTCTCTTGTACACAGATGAAGTAGCACCAGGAGCAGCACCACCATCTTAGGATGATAAACCAAACTGCACACACAGTAAGTGAAAATATATATGTAGTTGATTTGGCCCACCCTGTAGCCAAGAGGTGTAAGGAAAATTATTTTGCAAGAAAAAATTGTTCTGGGAACTACATTCTTAGGCCAATGGCAAAAAAGGAAAAAAAAATCAGCACTAAAGATGTCTACACAAATCTAGACATTTTCCTGTGTAGTGAATTTGTCCTAGCACATGGCATATTGGGTAACACTGGTAAATGAACAGCATGAGCAAAGAGAGATTTAAATGCCAGGTGAATGGTGAAAGGCTAACACACCGGATCTCTTTGTGTATACATCACAAATGCCAAGTCATCAACAAGCTAGGAAAGGAAGACAACTTGTCATCTAAGTCATACATTTTCTAATCATACTAGCTAATTATAAGCTGTTTATTAATGATAGATCTCTTAAGAGTAGGGCCAAACACTCCCAATATCATTCAACCTTGCAGCATCAAATTTGATGCTCTGGTTACAAGCAGTGAGAAATAGCCAACACACACCAGACCCACACGTTCTGCAGCCACACCTAGGGGTCTGGTTTACAGAGCTATGGCAAGACCTTGAAGATCTTCCCAGGCTTGACTTTAGAAATGACCAAAGACCCTCTTTAACCCTGGACATTCTACTAACAAGGCTGTCATTGCTCCTCATAATTAAATCTACCGTCTGGATGGAGCTCTTTTCCTTAGCCTTGGCAAGGTGATATTCCTCACATCCCTGGAAGAGCATGCTTCTTCCTTCAGGTTTCTCAGTAGCCTATATACATGAATCTAGCATCACCTCCAACTAACATTCACCAAGTGCTGGGAACACTATCCCTCCCTCAAATCACTACAAAGAAGTGATTTCATATTTGATTTCCACCCATTCTCTTTTGCATGCCTCCCAAAGGATCCTTCTCTTCCCTATCAGGGCTTTAATTCTCAGTGTCTGGTTTCAGGGCCTCCTTGTATGATGGACTGACCTGTAGAGCTCCACAAAGCCAATGAGAGACTGAATATGGGATCAGCCACAGTGCTTCTCTCTACTGAATTTTGTGGCTCTTGGCGTCAATGGGTGGTGAGCCTTCTTCCCCACCTTTAAACCACCTATAGTAAATAAAATTGAAGTTTTCAGCTACATGGCATATCGCATTCAGGATGCAAGACTGCATAAAACAGGGCTTCAGTACTGTAAAGCACTGTTTCTTACAGTACAAAACTGTTTCTTAATACTCTGTCTCCCATTTAAAAGATACCTAAAAGACAAAAGCCAGGGAAAGAAAGGTTAAAAATCTCTACTTTCTGACCATTTGATTCTGAGTAAATCCATTTTTGCATCACTAGATTAGTCAAGAGAGTCCCTGACCTTTGAGAGTTAGCAAGAAATAGCCACACATGTAACATCAGAACTGATTTGTCATTATTGACTCAGGTGGTTGATCATTAATGGATTCCCCTTACTTCTAACTGGTTCTAGGGACATGCTTTTGCCCAGAATGAAGATATCAAAGCTACAAAACATTTGTTCCTTTCACAAAGGAGAATTTTATAACTCTGCCTGTTTCTAAGAAAGAACGCTGTGAAAGGTTGTTCTCATGAAGAAAAAGCCACTAACTTCTAGGTTAACCAGAGGCCACTAGAAGCCCCATTAACGTAAGCCCTTGGCTGGCCTACAAATACTTTGAAATGGATAAAAGCCAACTCTCTTAAATAGGAACCAAACACAAGGACTTAGCAGCTGATGTGCTCAAAGCAAAACCCTTTGAGTTAGCCAGAGCATGAGCTGTTGGCTTGAGTACCAGCAACTTCCAGTTTTAAGTCAGTAAAGTTTGATACTGCCATCAAACCCAGCTCAGGCACCTCTGGAAGCAGCTTAAATAAGAATTTCTACCTTTATTTGAATCAACAAAAAGTCAGCCACAGAAACTAAGAGATGCACTTTCCAGTCTGTTCATTTCTGTTCTCACCCAAAATATGTTGATAATTCCACATGCAGAGGTATCTTGGTAATACATATTTAAAGTCTGGATTCCTTGAGAAATAATAACCAGCTTAGCAGGAAAAATAGTTGAGGCAGCTTTGTTCATTGATTTCTCTTTTACTACTTAAGTGCTCAACGGAAGAGAGCAGGATAGCTAGCTTTCTTCTTACACTAGCAAGAGTACGAATCAGAAGAGTCAAAAATGAAAAGTTAGTTTGACTGAGAAAGTCTTTTCTTTCTTTTTTTTTTTTTTTACAAAGGAGTAAAAAATAACTTTCCTATGAGATTTTCAAAGTTGGTGGTGTTCTCTATGAATAGGAAATGATGTAATTCAGCAAGTTCCTTGAAAACAATGGATTCTTATGACTATAGGCCTATTTATCTTAGAAATTGATGAGCATGCAAATGATTAAAATCTGCAACGATGAACATTGTACAATAGTCTGTGAGATACATGCCATCTGGCTGAATGAACAGTAACACGGGCCTCAGCAGTGTGGGGGTGCCATTTATCTCCACTCCCTTTTAAGTAGAGCAGAGCTCCCCAACCAGCTGATCAGAGCAGCAGCCACTGCAAGGCCCTACAACCCTGGCCCTTCCTTGTAGCTCCACCCAGGAGGATCAACCCTTCCCAGAAATAAACTGTTGCTCCTCCCAACAGCAGGGCTGGCAACAACTGATACAGACTTCACACTGGCTCAGAGGGAGCCTGATATTTGCATGAATTCGCTTAACTTTTGGAAGTTTCCTGGCAAAAAGATTCAAAACTTCTGTAGGCAATATCTTTAAATGTGCTCATTGCCATTTGTGTTTCACAAGGAAAAATCCCAAGATGTGTATACTTTCTAAACAAGAAAAGGATTAAAAATTCTCACTGCAGGCTAGATGTTCCCATAGCAGGTCATTATGTTTTTATGTGCTCTCTGTGCACTGTTTTTTGTTTTTGTTTTTTGTGTTTTTTTTTTTGTTTTGTTTTTTGTTTTTTTTTTATTAAACTAATCACTACTAGGCCAGCACCTACCAGGGCAAATGGGCCAGTTACATTCGGTTAAATAATGTAAAACCGGAAGTTCTCAGAACATGTGAACTCAGGGTCTTAAGGAAACTGACATGTAGCCCTGGTCATGATTAAAAAAAAAAAAAAAATCCACTCTGGAATTTTAATTTCTGGTTAGCAAGCACTCATTTGTCTAAGTATACTCAATACAACACAGGAAATGAAATATTATAACATGTGCACAGGAAAAAAAAATGGTGGGAATGGAGCAGGAAGCTTCCAGAAGTGGACTGGGGGAGGGGGAGAGAAGAAAAGATTAACAGATTCTAGTTTATTATGAAGAGAAAGACATTTCCAGAATTTACAAACACCCACATTGTTCATTCCAAAGAGAGCTTTTGATTTGAAAGGATCACCCAGGTCTCCTTCTCTTTACAATATATACAATGGAAGACTTTGATTTCCTTTTCTTATAATTTTGCTTCCATTCAATCATCAATTTTAAGCTGACACTTGAAAATACCCAAGTAGTATATATTGTTCTTCAGTTTAATTAACATGGTCTACTGTCTTACAGGAAAAATACAAAATTAAGATTAATTCTTTTAAGGAACTCAGCTCAACATCAAGTTTATATTACAAGAGATAGTATCAGCAAATATAACTATACAATTGAGAATCATCTATGGCACTATGATTCTTATTATATTATTTTTCTGAATTACAATCTTAAAACAAGGATCATACACTATTCTACTCTTGTTAGCCTTGTTTTAAGCATTTGCTCCACTCTTTACAACAGAACATTGTATACCTCAGTTCCACATCCAAAAAAAAAAGATGTGCTGTAAGAAAAGTTACATTTTCATTAAAAAAATTACACATATAAATCAAAACCTATGTTAAATATTTAATACTCTCTCCACCCAATGTGAACAGTTTTGAATGAAATAATTTACAATGACATTTTGTCAAACACAGTTTCAGCAGCAGATGAAACGAATCTTGTAAATGAGAGGAAACCCATTCTCTCGAAGCCTGGTAGTGGGCACATCAGCTCATTGTGGCCAGCTAAGTCCTTAAGGTTCAAGATGAAGTTCACGCAGACTATTCTTCTGGTGTCACAGTGCTTTTTTGCTTGGCACAATATAGAACGTGCAGTTCAGTCAACGAACTCCTGAGGATTGTATAAAGTAAACAAACTGAAATGGATGCATCGTACCATCTACAGAGGCGGAAGATGTGAGGTCCTGATTGTGAATCATGAAAGAGTTAGAGTCTGGGTACCCATGAGTTAGAGGAAGATTTGCTGAGGTCGTTTAGGTCTTCATTCTGAAAGGGAAAAGGAAAGACTTGGTTTAGCACAGGCATCTCAAAACACACACTCAGCCCCAACTAGGGGGCTTGCCTTCTAAAAGGGAGAAGTCTCAGATAAGCCCAAGTAACAGGCACAAACAGTCCTGTGTACCTAAATAAAATCAACAAACTGTATTTGACTATTCTTTCTTTCAAGATGCAAGATGCAATCACAAACTAAAAGTAGTCAATATTAAATCAGAAAACAAATGTGATCTGGACATCTCAGAGGGTTAGCCACAACAAAAAAGATTCTTTGGTGTTATGATTGAAGCAAAAATGCACATCATAGTTAGTGGATAAAATATGGTAAACAGGTTACAGGCAATCTATGCTCAATCTTCTTTTAATTAAAAGTCAACTGCAAATTTTAGCTTCTGAAGTTGCCGAGCTTAACATTACAAAATCTGGAATCAATTTTTAATGTGACATTGTTTGACAGAAGAATTTTAGATGCAAAGGAGACCCATGCAAAACAGACATGGTAAATTATTAAATAAGAAAAGAAAGGGATTCCGATTTAAGTCTTATAAAAATAAGTTATATTTAGGCAGAAGCAAGCATTACTTCTCTGCAATTCAAGAAGGCAGACCCCAAAGGGACATTATCCATAATTCCCCTTCTGAGATGAGACCCTTTTTCAAACTCATAAAGCATCTATGCTCTCAAGAATAATAATAGACAATCCTTGGAGCTTCATATTTTTCATGCATTCAAAAGTTACCTATACATATCAATATTTATAGAGTGCCCTGAGCAACATTCAGCACAGAGTAGATGATCATAAAACTTGTTGAATGAGTCAATGGCCACATTAAGTTCTATAGAGGATTCAAATTTGAATTCTGCTATACACTTTGCCTTCTAGAAAGGCAGGCACTCTCCATTCATAAGTAGATACAATGCTAAGCTGGAAGGTGAATTTCATGATAGATGCACATGCGGGGAAAAGCTCTAGATGCATGCAGGAGAAAAAGAATACTTCCAGCGAAAAATCCAAGGGAGGAACCTCCCTGACACACTCGCCTTGCTTTGCGAGAAAAATAATTGGGTGTGCGGAAACAGGGTTTGTGTCTCGGTTGCTTTTATATGGCATCTTCCAGAGCTTCAGGTGTGCAAGAGATGTGAGTTGAACAAATGACAAGGACACAGTACACTCCCCACAGACGTGATGAAACAAGGCCCAGGGGATGAGAGGGCAGCCACGAACGGGCCACTTAAAGGGTACATGGCTTCACAGGACAGCGAGGTACCTGAACAGGGCACAGTGAGTAGAGTCTATGGATCTGGATGGATGGTGAAAAACCTTGAATGACAAGCCATGAGGTCTTTATCCAATTATAGGGACAACAAGAATAGGCCTGGAGATATGATCAAGATCCACAAAGGCTACACAGATAGCAGCAGTTTCTAAAATTCACAAAGTTAAATGTTGACCAATATTTTCATCCCCCCCCCCCTTCAAGGGTGATTAAGCGTCAGACCCATCAGCATTCACTATTTACATGATAGTTTCACATAAGTTGAAGTTTACCAAATGAAGACTCTAGGTTTAGTAGATTTCTGTTTATTTCAAAATATTAACTTTGCCTCTAGAAAATCAGGTAAACAGACTATTATTTAATTTACTAATAGAGACTTGGCATGAAGGTGCCAAAGTAGAAGCAGGCAAACAAACAAATAGAAAGCTTATTCCTTTAACTGCCCAAATAAATGGGATTTTCTTTATATGGCATCTAAAAGGGAAAGGTAGGCTCCCTTCTTCCAGGAGCCCTGATGGGTCCCCAGACAAGAAGGCCCAGGTCTCTCATTAACTTCCAAATGGCTATCAGAATGTTCCTACCAGAACATTCTAGTGCAGCTGAACACAGCTTCTCAGCTCCAGGACTAATATTAGGCATGGAAGGCCACACCATATTAAAGGACTTACAACAAAATTTTGCCAAATATAAAATGAGGGGAAAGCAAAGAGCATGCACTATGTTTTTCATTTCTTATCTGGCTCCCATCCAGAAGGGCTGAATGAACAGCTCAGGACAGGAACAAACTGTACCCCGATTTATCATTCATTACACATGCGGTGCCAACCTGCAGGCACAGGGTAGAAATCTGCACAAGGCAGAGATCTGGGGCCTGAGAGGGCAGGGGAAAGTACGGCCTCCAGGGTATTGAAATCTATTGTTGTGGACCAGGCAGAGCTCATCCTTGTAACTTTCCACAAATATGTTCAAAGAGCAGATGCAAAAGGATATATAATATCCATCATAGACTTTTCTTCTACAGTCTTATAACACAGTACTTTTAAAAGCCTATATCATAAATCCTGATCAACCCATGCTTCAGCCACAAAGCTACCAAAGGGTGCTATCAATTTAGGAATCTATGAAAAAGTAGAGCAAGTGGTAAAGAGTGAGGCAATGCAGACAGGGCATAGGAACACACCGCTACAGGTAGGTTAAAAAAAAATAAAAACAAAAAAACACCTGGAAAATTCTAAAGGGAAAGTCTGAATTTCACACCTGCCTGTCTTTGTAGTGTGGTTTGCCCATGGGTGTTGGTGAAAGTGGAGCTATGCTCATCAGGTAATGCCTGCAGCCAGTCCTCAGTGGGAGCCACCTTGGAAGCTGTACCCTTACTGTAGTCATGCAGCCCTGTTGGCAGCAGTCTGGGAATGCCTTCTCAAGCCCCCAGTTCTTTTTTTGCAACTGCCTTCTCAGTCTTGAGCATATTCTTTTGAATAGTCTCTATAGCAGCCAGTCTCAGCCCTTGGAGGGCACATTTGATCTCTGGAGACAGCTAAATAGCTTTGAGAGCCAAATATGGCAAATAAAGGAGCTGATGAAGCAGAGTAATGGTTCCCAGAGAGGTATTATCTGGAGCCAAAGGGCTCCAAAATTGAAGTTCCAAAAAGACAGTTGTTCACAGCAGCTACTCCAATGAGTCAGCTGGGACAGGAAGTCTGACTTTTGGAACAGACCTCAACCTACCCTTTATGGGACTTAAGTTCATCTCCCCACATCTCTGCTTTGACATGCTTGCAATCAAGACAGGGTAAGTTTGAATAAAGCCCCCAAAGAAAGGCTAAGATCTATGTGTATATATTGTTGTAATGTAGAAATGTTTTTTTTTAAAAAAAAATATTTTTGTGCTTATAGATGGACACAATACCTTTATTTATTTGTTTATTTTTATGTGGTTCCTGGGAATGAAGCCAGTGTCTCATGCATGCTAGGGCAAGTGCTCTACCACTGAGCCACAACCCCCAGCCCCAGAAATATGTTTTTAAAAAGTTCCTTCAGTCATTCAATTCAACAAACATCTGTGAGTGACAAATTACAAATGTAATAATAAATATTGTCATAAGTGCCAGAGAAGATGACATTCTCAGATGGACATTTAATACACTTTATAAACACAACCTCAATTGATACCAACCATTTATAATTAATAGTGCTTCCATGTTTTACAAATACAGAAGCTCATTTGAGCTCATCTGTAATGTTCATAAACCAGATACCCCAAAGTCAATTGTTTCCTTATGAGAAGACACTGCACAAATATCAAGTGGTGATGTTCTGTGACAGACTCTCTCTAGTTAGATCACTGGGGAATAACTTCTGAACCCAGACACACAATGCACCTGTCACGAGATTTACTAGCAGGAAATTACATTTTGACAAAATTTCCTCACCACACCTTCTATGTGTATCTTCTTGTAAGATAAAACCCACTTAATCCTGTGGCCAGTAATGAAAAATGTAATTTTTAAAGTATTATCAAGTAAGTCAACACTTGAGCAATGCTACTTGAGACCTATGGATTATTGCATTATTGCATCCAGCAGGAATTTACATCTCCTGAACTCTACCCACTTAAACTATGCCTACTAAAGCTGAAAAACAAATACAGCTTTTGCTTTCTTCCACAGTCTCAGCCTACTGCTTGGTATTGACCGTGAAAGCTGGAAACAGCACAGTTAAGATCTAAGTATAATGGAAGGATCCTTCCAGCAATGCATTGTCAGTCAAAACATCAACAAGTGTATTTGCCTTGTATTTACCTGTTCTGAACATTTCTTGCCAAATTTGTGAGTCAAATGCAACATAGTAATAAATATCTGACCAGAGCACTATTAGTTGTTTCTACTGTAAGAAAATAGGAATAAAATTGTTTGGCTATTGTCATATACTGAAATGTAGCCAGAAAATAACCCTTCCTCATCCAACTGTGCTTAAAAAACAACTAGTACTGAATTTTCTTCAATGGAATCATTGTTTGAACTCTTATAGGTTCACCTTGAACATTTTTTATAAATTAAATCTCTCCACTTAAAGCAATGTGTCAAAGCAATCTGTTTGTTTCATTTAACATAAATGACTGTGTTTTAAAAAAATGATATACCTTGAGTGCAATACAGAAAATGTATAAAATACAGGGAAATACAAAAAAAGAATAAATATTGTTTATAATTCCTGACACTCAAGAAAAATTACTATTCATATGTTGTTCTGTTCTAACTTTATCATTCATTTGAAGGATTTGAACTTTAAAAATTCTGCATTTGATGAAAAAAATAAAAAGCTTAAATTAGAAAAGTAGCATTCAAATTATACTTAGTTCTTTCTCATGTTTCAAAATCAGTGATGAGAAATGATTTGAAATTTTTAACCCTTTTCAGTACTGTATCCTTTCCCCATGTTCCAAAGTCACCGTATACAGCCGGAAAGTAGGGACTCTGGCTTCCTGGTTTTGGCGTCCAAAAACCTAAGTCCTTAAAGGAATGGCACAGAGAAAAATTCAGGAAGAACTGAGAGAGGAAGCTTTCTCCAGAGGAGAAAAAGAATTCCCCTCAGTGGGAATGGGGAGAGAAAGGATGGGGGACGTGAGGGCCAGACGTCAGCTGGAACTTGAAAGGTGCTGACCACGATGCCTATAAAGTCCCTCTCTATTCTGCTTCCATGGTGATTTCTTCCTTC